AGCAAGAGTTAAATATTATCGTAATACACAGATCATAGGGCATCTAAAAGTATATATATAATCTCTGAGAACTCCAAAATTACTAACATTAGAGCATTCTGATGTTTTGCCATTGTATTTTAACTACAAAATTAAAATGTGAAATCTGTTAACTTCATATGAGTGACATTTATGTAATCCAATATTCCCTAGTACGTTCTTACTGGTGGTAGCATCCACCAGAAAAATGAGACATAGACTACTATTTATTTCAATAACTTTACTAACACTGAATGTAGTCCTGTGATATTTTATTCTTTCTACAAGTGGAACAGATCATATTATTCTAATTGTTTTTTTCTCCTGGTTTGTACTCTTTGTTTCTCCTTCTACCTAGTGACAATTCCTGTACCCAAACTTCAGCATTGTAAAGAGAAGGTATTATTGTTTTCTTTTCTCTAGTGAAAATAAAGACAAATATATTTGTCCTCTTAGTAGCAGTATCTTTCATTAGGGGTTACATTTTAAGCATATGATTAAAGCCATGATTTCAACTGAACTTTTAAACTTTGTTCAAAACAAAGGCTTATGTTCTGAAAAACACCTACACTGTGCCAATACTCCATTGAAGACCTCTTAATCCTACTGCTTTCATGCTATTGCTATGCTTCTACCATCAATATATGCCTCATTAATTTGACAGATACATGTTATTTTACCCAGAAAAATGTACCATGATGGGATAAAGTGGTTACTGTGAACTGTATCTTGCAAGATCTTATGAGCATTCTTTAGATAATATTAAAACTTTTTGCCACCTCCTGCTTAGCAATTTTACCTCAGCTGTCTGTCATTCCCGTTTGATGAAGTTCATGTTATTTCTCTGCTGTCAAGTGCTAGCTTCTAGGTAGGAAGCAAAAATGTAAAACTGTTGCAGTGTTTTCCACAGAAATGATGGAAGGGGAGAGGGAAAAGAAGTATCATTGCTCTCACTGTAGAAAAACCTGCCACAGACAAAGCAATGGGCAAGAGTGACAAAGGGAGGATAAATCCTCAAAGAGTGTATAAAGCTATGAGCTAGAATATGCTAGCTTAAATGTGGTTTGGGGTTTTTTTTATTAATCTTTTGTTACAGAGACCTAAAACTTCTGCTGTACTAAAAATTTTGCATTAAGTGCCTTTAAAAATTGCAGCACATAAATTAGGGATGTATTGGCAGCTGGTGGTTCTTTACAGAACACATGATTTTGGAATATTTTCTTAAACTCTTCCAGAGTGTAATTTCTTTAAAAGCTATGTGACCTTTTGGATACTGTCATCCTACAACTCTTTAACAAAATAGATGATAAAAAATAGAACTCAGTATCAATTACCGCAGAAACTAATAGAGTTTAAAAGTTCATGAAAAGGCAAATAATTCATCGCTGAATTGAACATCTGACTGAAAATTTCTGCTTGGAGCATTAGCAAGAAAAGGTAGAAGCAGCAGCTTGTTCCCTTTTCAGTTGTCTTTGGACTGCAACAAAAAGATGTAGAGCCTCATCAGTTCATACAGGAATCAGAGTTCCCAAGCACAGGTTCAATTTAACGTATTCAGTTTTCAGAACATCAACTCCAGCATCAGAGTTGCTTACCCAAAACTTAGGGGTTTAATATAACTGTTCTGGGTTTTGAGGCTATTGATAAAACCGTTAAAATTTTAACACAGATGCAACTCAAGTAACTTGAGTTGGAGAGGCACCCATCTTTGGAAATGAATAGTCTCTATGGATTCATCACATCATCAATTACAGTGCAATATTAAGTCACTTCCAACAGTGCATGTATATAGCATGCATTTTGGTCAATATACAAGTCAAGTAATCTTTTGTAATTTTAAAGGGATGTGTTTTATCTCATATGAGAGAGTGTTTCTTGGGAGCTAAAGAAATTAAAATTAGCAGTATTATTTTCAATATTTTTAAAACACTGGAGGACACTAGTTCTAATCTCCTGAATACAAAGAAAGAGTTCATAACTGAAGTCTGTCTTTTGATGGAAATTTGAAATGAACTACATCAGCTGGCATACTGATTTTTCTAATCTATTCTGAATAGCCAGAATATAATTTTCTATATCTTTGCATTAAATTTGTAATATTTTGTTGCATAATGATATGAGTTTTATGTCATATTGTACAATGTAGTCTAACCACTGCAGTATAAAAGGGGTTTGCTTGCAGACACCATCTTCCAGCCTCCATTCAGTTAGCAACACTGCCTTTTAAAGACAATAATAATGTCAAGGCATTTTGATTTTGCATCTACTCCAGCATTTTTGTTATCTTTTTGCTCTCTGGTAGATACTGGCTATGCTGACAATACTGCAGCTGAGTTGCATCACCTTAGTGTCAGGTCTGGACATACTAGATCGTAAAAGAAGAGTTTTTGACATTATTCTTACAAAAATTTAATTGGACTATAGGCTCAAACATGGTGTTGGGGAGCTAGGGACCCACATTTCACAGAGCATAGGGCATGTAACTCACACACACACTTTCACTTTTTTTCACTTTCAGGGTTGGAACCATCAGATAATTTTTTTCAGCCATCTTGTGTGTGAAAAAGTAAAATAATTCAGATTTTCTGATTAAGACTAGTATGCTTTTTTTTTTTTGTCAGAAATATCCAGGCATTTCTTTATCAGATTTATTCAGAGAAACTTGCTTTGGCCCCTCAAAGAAAACAGTGACAGAATATACATATCTCCCTAGGTATCAAGTATGAACTCACCACCCTAGAGTCCCTTACCAGTCAAAGGAAAGACAGTCCTGTCCTGGGGGAATTAATTTCATTATAAAATAGATGTCAAAAATAAATCATAGGAATCACTCAAGATGTTCTGCTTTAAGACATGTAAAGTTAGCAAGTGAAATCCCACCAAAATCTACAGAGGCCAAACTTGACACACTAGTAAAGGAAATGCTTTCAAAAACAATGTAGTTTTTATAGACTTTTTCCTGCTTTCTGTCTGCTTCCTTCTTTTTCAAAAAGTAGATGTGAGAAAGAGAATGCTAGTTAACACTTCTATGAGCTACACAGTATTTAAATGAAACAAATTATTTTCTGTAATCCCTGGATTACAGAAGGTAATTGATACTAAAACTCAGTCAACTTGTCCAAAAATTCAAATAAATTCCTTTACCTTCTTTGTTTCTTTGGTGCCGGATGCCACAATAAGGAAGAATGTGAGTAAATGCTTCTCTCAGAGGAAAAAATGCTAACATCAACAGTATGTATATGTCAATAACCATTTGTAAAGAAAGAAAATATAGGGACCTCTAATCTCACCTAATCATCATTCTGAGCAACAGTTTAATTTTTTCTCCTCTGTGTTCATAACATTTCTTATATTCACTTATCACATATGTTGTCAAATAACTATTTTTTTTCTGGCAACTGAGAATTTAAAAGAAAAGTATATTACACGAAAGAGAATCTCATTGGTTTCTATAAATTCATAAGGGCTATGAACAAGTAGGACAGTTTTAAAAGTAGATTCATGGATAATTATCATAAGCTCTAACACTCACAGTTACTTTACAGGATATTTTTGTGACAAAATAAGTACAAAGATTGGTATAATAGTTGCATAATTTACTATTTCCCTCTTAAAAACATTAGATAAATTCTTTCTGTATTTTATGGAAACTAGTGTAGAATTATAAGTGGTACTCAGACCATGTAATAACATTGCAATACCAAAATTCAAGTTTGCAAACATAAATGTTGAAAGCAACCATAATTATAGTCTCATCAAAGTGTTATCAGATAAAATTTAGGTGCCTCTGTCTATTGTTATAAGCAAAAAAGTATACTGATTTAGGCAGCAAGAACTATTAATAGACTAGACTGAACCAAAGATGGCAAGAGAAAAAAACCCAGCCGCCTCAATTTTCAGGATACCGAGTAAGACAAGAAAGGCTCTATATAGCAACAGCATTTTAAGGATGAATAAATAGCCACAAAGTTCGCTGGTTCTGCATGGAAGCTTGCAGATGGTGGATGAATTCATGTCTGTCACGTTTTCATAATACAATGACTTTTACATATTGCTGCCAGATGGAACATAGTTTTGCATCTTGATTATAAATCTCCAAGAAATACAACTTCCTTCAATATGTTCCCTGTATTTGAAACAAAAGCAAATTCAGAGACAGATTTGGGAAGCCAAAGCAGATTTAAGAAAATCTGAGAGAATATAAATTAAATCCTCAAGGGCTTCCTTGTTATAACTCAGTTCAAAATAATGGAGTTAACCATGTGTTCTGTACTTTTTAAGGAAAACCTCTAAAGGTATCATACAGACTTCTACAGGGAAAACTGCATGTTCACTATCAAATGCAAAATACCTCCCAGGAAGGTCCAGACAATCTTTCAACCAGTCCTAATAGTAGTTTGGCAAAACTTTTGCATAACACTCTTCCTGCTTCAACAAAAAGAGATATCTATCCCACAAGGTCAGATCATAAAGCACAGTGCATAAAGCTTAAATGCATTTAATCGTTGCTGATAATGAATATCTGTATCTATATCACAGAAGCGCCTTGCCATTCTCCTTATGTTAAATGATACCTAAACACACATAAAATCTAATTCAGATCTGTTATGCTGGTCTTTATATAGATTTGACTTCTCAAACTATGAAAAAAGTACAGAACTTTTTCCTTTATATGTGTTCACCCATCACACCTGGCTTCCTCCTGTATGTCTGGTCTAATCCTAGATGGTACTGCTAAGAAGTGAATAACTCTGATAGCAATGGAGTGAACTATGTGACCGTAGGGAAGAATATTTTCCCATTCAATGATTTCTCACAATGATTTCTCTCTGATTTGATGACAAACTTGAGTTGACTTCTCTCAGACAGCCTGAAGCATTGTTTATATGCAGATAATTCTGTGTGTGAACCCATTAGGCTTTTATGACAGTAATAATCAAATGTGATTGGAAACCTTGTGGCTTACTTGGATCCATACTTACATTGTGCTTTGTGAGGTTGGAAATGTTACTTGCTATTGCTTGTAGCCAGTCAATAGAGTCTTCAGCGGAGAGACACTGAATTATTCCACTGCAAACCCCATCCACAGCAATTACTTGGAATGCATTTTGCCTATAGACATATCATAACAGATCAGGTCAGAAGAAAATTTCATCTGTTCTAGCATATCATCTTAACAATACTTGTAGAAATGCTTTTCTTTCAACTACAATGAAGGTCAGCCACTGAACACTGATATAATGCTGTTTTTCCTGTTTTAAAAATACCTGACATATTAAAAAGATCATGCTAAAAGGTCAATTCAGACTATATTAAGCTTCCAAAAGGCTATAAAAAATTTCCAGAGACTAGCTTCACAGAACTTTGACCAATAGACTGTATGACTTCAGAAGCTAAACAAGAGAAAAATCTGATGCATACCAAAGACTTAATACTTTAATACAGCAGATCAAAAAGAAGAAAGTGTGCATTGGAAACTGTAGACACCATTTGTGAAAATCAGTGGATGCCAGTACATTTGTCTCAACATCTTTGTTTCATTTTTCTAATACATGCTTTAAAGACAGTAAGATTCCTGTCTGGACATCCCTTGTTGTCTGCTCTCGTTTATAGAATTTTGATCCTCTTCTAAACTACTGATTGAGAGGTTGGAGAACTCAGAATTGATCAGGTAGCATTAATGATTTTTCCAGTTGCATTTCTGAATCAAGGATCATTACCAAAACACACTGGAATGTCAAGAGACATCTAATGACAAAAGCAGCGTACACCTGGATGCCTCTAACCCAGCAACAATCCGGGCACTTATACAATACCTGTCATGTTTTATGCACTGACTTTCCACTGCCAGGCACTGAGCAATTACAGAACAAGAGAAATTTTTCAGATGCTAAAACAGTAGCAGACCCAATTTCTTCAGTAAATAGCCTTCTTGGCTAAAAGCCCTTGGAAGGTTCACAGGCCTCTGGCTTCAGAACCAAAAAACCCTCAATATTAATCCATATCCCACGAAAAGAGATTACTAAACATACAGAGAATACCAAATTCCACTGCTGACATTCTGTAACAAACCCAAGTGTTGATGATCAATTCATGGTTTAAGATTAAGTACATCATTCAGGTTCTTTGAGAATGGCTCAAGCAAAGGATGTATTATCTTCAAGGTAAAACTGAGTGTCACTGATGAAAGTTTCTGACATCTGAAGACATATCAAAGTTGTTTGTTTGGAGTTTTTTACCTCTTGAAATTTTATTCTAGTAGTATAGAATGTGAGGCTAATATCTGTCTCTACCATAATGGTCTTTGCTGCATCCGTGTCAAATACAGGCTTTTACTTCAGTCAGGAGAAGCAATAAAAATGAACTAGAGCATGCCTTTGCTTTGAGAGTCCCACCATGAGAACCAGCTTTTATAGGGGTATAAGGCTGATAAATCCTAACACAATCATGCAGGAATCAGCTAACTTATCAATTTAGTTGTCTTTTTACACAAGTAGTGATTTTTGTTTAAATTCCCAAATATACTGGTAAAGTTTTGAGGAAGATTTATTTAAAAAACCTTCAAGTAATGTTGCTATCATTTATTTATTCTATGCTTTATTTTAATTAGCTAGAAATATAGATATTTATTTTTTCCAGAATAGATTTCTAAATCCTTACGTGAAGAGCATAGCATGATGCACAAATGTGTTGATCATCTCATTCATCAAAAGTAGCGTTACTTTCAGGACTCACCTTGTTCCCAGTGTATCGTAAATCAAAGAAGAAATCCAAGGAGTCTATTAATGTGTGACACGAACACAAGCACAGAAAACCCAGTATGTTCCAGATTCAGTCCTGATGCACAAATTTCCTTTACATTACAGACACTGAATCGGATGCATTCAAGGCATCAGTCTGTTCCTACTGTTGCTAGGAATTTGATCTGTGCAGATATAAAACCACTAATCCATAATATTCTTACCCAAGTATCAATAAGCACAGACAGTAAGATACATGGTTACCTAATAAATTACTTCTGAATGTGTCTTGGGAGTAGATATCCTTAGCCTTAAATTATTGCAATAGTACACTTTGAATGACCAGCCCAAGTCCATAATACCACGCATGCAAACCTGAAAATATACTGTATTAAATACGTTTTGTACTAAATGGAACAAACAGTATATTAATCACTTTATAATACACGCACACACACAAAAAAGTGGAGATCAGATGAAGACTTTTTCAACTTTCCCACATTTTTACACATTTCAGGTTCTGTGCCTTCTGGAACTCAAAAGTTATATTTGAAATGAATAAGCTTCCCAATTTTTAACCTGAATGTCTTTTAGAATTCTGTATGAATACCCTCCAGAATTCACGTGCCTCAAGCATCCCACTGGAAAAGCTAGAATATGATTATGAGGTTCAATATTATATGTGATAATGGTACATTTCCATGCCAGCCTTTTCAAACTCTGAAATATAAAAAGCCTTACATAGTGAAAACACCTTTGTAAATACTAACTACGAAATATGTAATGAATTAGCTTCCAGTTCATGTTGCTTTCTTATAATATTGTCGATATCCTTACTTTAATGTCACTGTTTATAGCAGCATCTTTTAAAAAGTATTACCTTTCCCTTATAACCAATTCTGAGAGGTAGTCACATTTAAAAATGTTTACAGTAATTTAAAACAGTCTTGTAAACTGTCTTGCTAGCAAAATACAATGTTGGTTCTATGCTTTAAGAAAAATGTACTTCCTGTCTCATATTTATCCTGCATTTTTGTTTAAGTACTCTTACTTCCTAACGTTAGACAGCATAGAAAGACAGAAGGAGAAAATTATCAGAGTAGTTATTCGAGGTTTGAGTATGAGTTCAGGTATAATGTTTTGTATTAATACACTTTTAAATTTATTTTCTAGAAATTTAAATTTCAGGAATATCATTACTACTTAAGAAACTTTCTCTGCAATGTACAAGTTCTATTATGTGCACTTTAAGCTTGTGTTTTATTGATGCAGAAGACTGAATTTTAAAACCTTTCATCTATCAACAGCTGAATATGTGCTTATTTTCCACGTGAGTAATTCTATTCAATTCAATATCTTATCTGAAGTATACAGTAGAATGGATCTCAGATTTGACTATTATGATTTTGGGCCCTTTATGCTTCATTGTTAAACACCAAGCTGAAGGCTTTCACAGAATTTAATAAAAATCGTGCTTCCTCTGTGATGACTATATTCTGTTCCATTTCAGTTCAGCCAATAAGCCATTGTAGCTTTTGGTTTACACCTTGACTCCCTGGGCCAGCCATTGTTCCTCAATAGAACAAGGATCATGCAGACAAGTAAATATGATTCTGCTTTTACCAGTCAAAAGCTGCAGGCTGTTTTTAGCTTCACAAGGATCTACTGGTGAAACATATACTGCCTAACCTGCTTTAATTTCAGCTCCGTGAATAGGAAAAATGTCCGTCAGACCTAAGCAGTGTAATTCTAAGAAACAAAGCCCTTAGAAATGACGTGGTGAGAGGCTTTTGTGCAACTTTCAAGTGTTTATTGAGTATCCATGAGAAGGAAGCAGGCTGTGATAAGAAACACTAAAATTAACCCCACACAAACCCCAAACGGATGTTGAAGGCTTCTCTTCACACAGTTTCTAGGGGGGCTCATAAATCCAGTCCTGTTGGTAGATGGTGACAGTTGACTGTAGGATCCATAGAAACACTGGAAGGGTGAGCATAACAACAGAGAAAAGATACTGGGAAGGTCTTTCACAAAACAGCCTTTGCAGAAAATTTAACATAACTTTTCTGCATTAATTTTGTAATTTTACACGTTTGAATGGAGGAACAGGAAAATTGAAACTGCTAATGCCTGATGTGCCATCAGGATACAGCATAACACACTGTTCTTCCCAGACTCATATCCAAGATGGTAGACATGAAGACTATACAGAAAAGACAGTTTATTTCAATTAGTAAGACCTCAGAGCCACAAATGATAAATCCTTCGTGCTAATCTTAAGAGTTGTTATTTCTGATTGATTAGAAAAAGAAGTTACAGAGACACATGCCTTGTACCTGTACACAGCTGTCCTCCAGTTAATGACTTAGCACTGGAGCTCACAGAATTTTCAGTACGAGAACCTCATTCTTATAAATACAGATGACAAATGAATTCATAAAATATCAAGGTATTTAAAACTTTTAACAAACATGATCTTATTTATACATTTGCCTTATTGGATTTTGTAGCTACTTTCATTTCTATTTCATTGCATTATACTTGTAAAACAGTAATCATTCCAGAATATTGGTTGTCTTCCTTCCTAATTTCTCCTGATTTACTAGGATAATACTAAATTAAACAATGAAAAATTGTAAGACTATAGGACTGTATTGCGTCTGACGGAGATAAATTTAATCTTCCTCACAGCAGCCCTCATAGTACTGTGCTTTGTATTGGCAGCTAGAAAGGTATTGATTACACATCAGTGTGTTGGCTACTGTTGAGCAGTGTTCTCATGGTATCAGCACTGTCTCTCCAACATTCCCTCCTCATCAGTGGGCTGGGGATACAAGGTCGTGGGAGGGCAAATAGCCAGGACAGCTGACCCAAACTGACCAAAGGGATATACCATAACATATGACATCTGCTCAGCAATAAAAGCTACAAGAAAGGAAGAGGAGTAAGGGTATTCTTTAATTACAACACTTGTCTTCCAGAGCAACCGCTACAAGTACCAAAGCCCTACTTCCCAGGAACTGGCTGAACATCGCCTGCTAATGGGAAGCAGAGAATAAATGTTTTGCTTTCTTTGCTTCCAAATGTGACCTTTGCTTTGTTAAATGGCAAATGACTCATGAGGTTTTTTTCCATCTTGTCTTCTCCCCCCCTCATTCTGCTGAGGAGAGCAGTGATAGAGAAGCTTGATTGACACTTGGTATCCAGCCACGGTCAACCCACCACAATGATGCCATTAATTTAAGCCTAACTATGAGCTTTGGACAGCTTTCCCAGTGATTGTAAGAGAGAATGGCAACGAAATTAAATATTAACACATGCAAAATACAACATACAGGAAAAAATGACTTTAGCTATATGGAAAGAAAAAAAACCCTACTGTAGCTATAGAAATGAAGGAGAGAATACAAGAGCTACTACAAACATTTATCTAAACACCATCACCTTAGTGCTCAGTGACAGTTACAAAGTAATAGGTTATTACAAAGTGTGAGATAAGAACTGACAAAAAAAATATAGAACATCATTATGCCTTAACGTAAATCAGGGGGTATCCTCCTTGCAGTCCTGATTACCTTGCCATTTAGGTGATATATTAGAATGATGAAAGAAACAGAGAATAACAGAGATAGTTAGAGCTACAGAAGAGTTTCCCAAAAGGAGATAACATCTGTGATCCTTTAGGTTGGAAAACAGAAGACAGTCAGATGAAGTTATAAAAACATAAATCAAGATATTTCGTATTTCCCTCAGTACAAGGGTAAGGGCCCACAGTCCACCCTCTTGCCCCCCACAGCAGACTGGTGGCCTGTGCATGAGGCCAGCTGTGCCATGGTGAGACTGTGGGATGTGGGATCAAGCTGCTGTGGAAGAGCTTGAGTGGGAGGCCTGTCCACCCCTACACTTGGGAGCTGCTTATCTTCTCAGGCTCTTGTTTGTGGTCCTTGTCTGAGTATGGCTCCAGCTATTCCTGTGTCTGGACATGTATCCCACTGATTTGGACCTGATCTGTAGCTGACTTCCCAGCCTGACCTGAGCCACACCTGACCATGATGGACTCCTCTGAAGACCATCCCTAAGCCTTCTTTGTTCCTCCAGTGGGGGCAGTGGGTTGGGGTCCTTGTCTGCATGGACAATGCCACATCCAGCCTCACTGCCGTACTCTCTCAGCTCATCTTCCCTATGGGGCAGCCAGCCCTCACTGCCCCCAAACAAGATTATTTCACCTAATATAGTAATCAGATGAGATATGTAACACAAACAGAAGGAAGCAGATTTTAGAAACATAATTACATTGTAGAGCTCAATGACATAATGCATTGCAAAAATCAAAGACACAAAGAAAAGCAGATTAGAAAGAAGCTTTTGAGGACAGGCACATTAGCAGTTATTAAATATGATGACCTATGTGCAATCTCAAACTCTGAAAGGTGCTGACCATTAGGTGCAAGTAGGAAGACCATACATCTCCCCATATACTTGGTCCCGGCTGACATCAGAGCAGAAGATTAGCCAAGGTGGACCTTGACAGACCTTTATAAAAATTTATGTTTCATGTCTCTAGCAGCTGCAGTGGATCTAATAATGGCATTTCTCTAGCAAGACAACTCCCTGATGCATGTATCTGTCAACCAAGAAGTCGAGTTCCAACCTTCTGAACTTATTTACCTGCACAAATCTGATCCCGGAAGGTACTGGGAAAATCGTGAATGTAGAAGTGGAATTAATCGAAGATCACACCACCTTTTTTCCCACCTAAGTCCTGGGGATGCTGGCCATGAGGAACATGATAACGTATCCTGAAAAACATTGAAAAGTCCTTCTCAGTTTTGGACTTCATTATAAATACTCAGCAGATTTGGAAAAAAAGAGATAGACTTCAAAGACATTATAGTTCATCTGGCATTGTTCCACTTTTTCCAAATCACTTGGTGGCAGAACTTTTTCTCCTAAATAAAAAGAAATCTATATAAACCTCAACAATAACATGCTTACAGGAAGTGTGAGGAAAAGTATTCTAAAAACCTGAGGAAAATAGACTGTATCCTTTTTTTTGAAATGACTGATTATTTACCAAGTAACCCATCATTAGATTGTAGTTTTATATCTGCACCCTAAATAAAGGAGATCACTAAATTATTCACCATACAACCATAATTCAGTTGTTCCCCACGGCCCTGTACACATATGACATCACCTCAAAACCTGGTAATTGTAAATGGAATTTAACACAAGATGAAAATTGTCAAAATTGTCAGAGCTACAAGCTTGAGATCAATATTTTAATTTTATCTACTTACACAAGACATTGCTTATATAAAAACTGAACTTTATCACGTCTATGAACATATCTACAAAGAATGAGTGTTTAAATACCTACAGTCTAATTTCACAAGCATTTTTACAGAGTAGGGATTTGCATGAGAAATGCCTATAAAAAGCGAAATTATCAACATCTATTTTTAAAAATACAAACCCTCTTTCTTTATAAAATGTTTCATAAAATAACACTATTGATGTTATTGTTTTGGAAAAGTATGATTCTTCAAAGTGTCTTCTCATAGTTGCAAAGGATTAGGAAAAGGCTGAGGTATTTGATGCCTTCTTTACCACAGTCTTTAATAGTAAGACCAGTCATTCGCCTGCTACCAAATCCCTGAGCTGGAAGGCAGGGATGGGGATCAGAGAGAAGCTGGTATAGGTGTTCATTGAGTTACTTTCCATCATTTACCAGCAGTCCTGGCTAACCAGAGAGGTTCTGGCTGACTGGGGGTTGGCAAATGTGATGTTGATCTACAAGAAGGGCCAGGAGGCGAATCTGGGGAACTACAGGCCTGTCAGTCTGACTTTGGTTCCAGGAAAGATCATGGAGCAGATCATCTCGTGAGCCATCGCATGACAGATGCAAGACAATCAGGCATCAGGTCCAGACATCATGAGTTTATAAAAGGCAGGTCCTGCTTGATCGACCTGATCTCCTTTTACGACCAAGTGACCTGCCAAGTGGATGGCCGTCAAACTGGATTTTAGTAAAGCTTTTGGCACTGTCTCCCACAGCATTCTGCTGAAGAAACTGGTTGCTCATGGCTTGGATGGGTGCAGAGTTTGCTGGGTAAAAAACTGGATGAATGGCTGGGCCCAGAGAGTAGTGATGATAAATCCAGTTGGTGACCAGTCACGAGTGGTGTTCCCCAGTGCTTAGTATTTGGGTTAGTTCTGTTTAACATTTTTATCAGTGATCTGGAAGAGGGGATTGAGTGCACTTTCAGTCAGTTTGCAGAAAATTGGACAGGATTGTCGATCTTCTGGAGAGCAGGAAGGTTCTGCAAAGGGATCTGGACCAAGGCCAATGGCATGAGGTTCAACGAGGTGAAGTGCCAGGTCTGCAGTTGGGTCACAACCACCGCAGGCAGCGCTGCAGGCTGGGGGAAGAGAGGCTGGAAAACTGCCCAGCAGAAAAGGACCTGGGGGTGTTGGTCGACAGCCATCTGAACATGAGCCAGCAGTGTGCCCAGGTGGCTAAGAAAGTCAATGCCATCCTGGCTTGGATCTGGAATAGTGTGTCCAGCAGGACTACAGCAGTGATCATTCCCCTGTACTCAGCAATGGTAAGGCCACACCTCAAATACTGTGTTCAGTTTTTGGTCTTTCACTACAAAAAAGACATTGAGGTGCTGGAGCATGTTCAGAGAAGGGCAACGGAGCTGGTGAAGGGTCTGGAGCACAAGACTGATGAAGACTGGCTGAAGGAGCTGTGGTTGTTTAACCTGGAGAAAAGGAGGTTCTACAACTACCTTAAAGAAGGTTGTAGCAAGGTGGAGGTCAGTCTCTTCTCCTAAGTAACAAGTGACAGCATATCAATAAAATAGTACCTCCCAATCCTGCATAATTTACAATTTTTTTAATCTCAGATTTTATATATTTTATTACTGGTGTTGTCTATAAAATAAATATTACAAAAATTAAGTACACCTATTTTTCTAGAGTGTGACTTTTGTGTAAGATCTACAGAATTATAAAGCTTTGCGAATTTGAACTTTACTTTTACATATATGTTCATATATATTTTATTTATATGAAACCAAATATCTCTATGAATATCATGTTAGCTAAATGGCAGATTTTTCATAAGCAGTTCACTTATTTAAAACATAGACTCATTAAAAATAAATAAATGATTGGCTAGAAAGACTAAGCTAGGATGCTGTTTTGAAAATAATATCTTGAATTTTTAATGTTTTCTGTCTGCTTTTGGGAACCTTTCTTCACCTGCGATTAAGCTTGGGGAAAAAGCTGAAATGCAGTAAAAGTTCAGATACAAACTGTAGGCCTAGATATGACTGGAGTAGAAATGTTAACCCTATATTTAGCCTGCATAACTAATAAGGAAACAGACTATGGCTGTAAGTCACAGAATCACAGAATTTCTGAGTTGGAAGGGACCCCCTAGGATCATCAAAGTCCAGCTTCTGGCCCTGCACAGGACAGCCTCAACAAACCCACTAAGTGCTTAAGAACATTGTCCAAACGTTTCTCGAACTCTGTCAGGCTTGGTGCTGTGACCACTTCCCTGGGGAGCCTGTTCCAGTGACCAAACAATGTCTGGGTGAAGAACCTTTTTCTAATATCTAACCTAAATCTGACACAACTTCAGGCCATTCCCTTGGGTCCTGTCACTGGTCACCAGAAAATTAAAAGATCAGTGCCTGCCCTTTTCTACCCCTCACAAGGAAGTTGTAGATTGCAATGAGGTCTCCCCTCAGTCTCCTCTTCTCCAGGCTGAACAGATCAAGTGACATCAGCTGCTCCTCATACGTCTTCCCCTCAAGGCTCTTCACCACCTTCGCAGCTCTCCTTTGGATGCTCTCTAATAGCTTTAGATCTTTGTTATACTGAGATGCCTCAAAATTGCACCCATATTCAAGATGAGGCTTCACCAGTGCAGAGCTGAGTGGGACAATCACCTCCCTCGACCAGCTGGCAACACTTTGCCTGATGCCCTCCAGGACACGGTTGGCTCTCCTGGCCACCAGGGCATTGCTGACTCATATTTAACTTGCCATCGACCAGGACACCCAGGTCCATTTCCATGGCACTGCTCTCCAGACTCTCGGTTCCCAGTTTATCTATATTCAGGATTTCCTCCCCCTAGGTGCAGAATCCAGGTCTTGCCCTTTTTAAACATCAAATTAGAAGACTGGTGATTGCCCAGTCTTCTAATTTGTCCAAGTCTCTCTGCACGGCCTCTCTGCCTTCAAGGGAGTCAACAGCTCCTCCCAGTTTTGTATCGACTGTAAACTTGCTTAGTATCCCTTCCAGTACTGCATCCAAGTCATTTATGATGATGTTGAAGTGCACTGGGCCTAAGGTGGAGCCCTGCAGAACCTCATTAATGACAGGTCACCAGCTTGATGTTACCCCATTCACTATAACTCATGGGCCAGTTGCTCACCCATCACATTATATGTATATTCAACGGTTATAATGCCTTTTACAGAATATCTTCAGGAAAAGGAGGAACTATGGCATAGAAGTTGCACAGAATTTAGTCCTCCTTTGGTTTTACAAAGCATTCTGTTCCCATGACAAGAAGACATCTGAGATAAGAACCATATCCTGGTCCTCAGTACAAAAATTTAATTTAGGGTGAATTACAGATTATAGGTTCATGATATTTGATTAAATTATTTAAACCGAAAGAGAAAGACTTGGTTTCAATAAATTATTATCAGTTCAAATAGAAACTGCAGATAATCTAGATCAGTTTTGACACCTGTAGAAACAGAATTCACAAATGAAATTATGTTTTTTTATGAGAAAAGCAAAGTTAGAATTGAAGTGAATAAATCAGTTTAGGATCTGCTGTCATAGCCTTTTTATATATATACATACCTATATAGATTGTTGAGACAAATCTGCTTTTGTTGTTGCTGCTTTAGTTACACATATTTTTACTGTTATTTGACATCAATTTTATTGGTGTTATCTTATTTTTATAAATTCCAGCTCCTAAAACTTGCATAATTCCTAGGGGCTTCCCAGATTACAGTCAAGTTTAAACCTGTGGTATTAATGTTTAAATGTCTGGGTTGCTATTTAAAACCCTTAATAGTAAAATATGAAAGTACAGTAAAACAAGCCGAAAATCAAAAATGACAAAGTCTACTCAATAAGGCTTACAGTTTTTTTAATAATTATGATGTATACTGGTCTATTTATACTGTGCTTTTTATATTTTTATCTACTACACAGACAAATACTCAGCAAAAAACCCTTAAGAACTACATAGAATAACGGAAATTTTTAATTTCTTGGCTAAGAAAATTGTTAAAAGTCCCTTGTTGCACTTCATAGGTATCTTTTAGTAAAAATCTGATTGAACATCTGTAGCATTTTATCCTAGACACACTTTGCTCCATAACCCTATCACTCTTCAGTAAGATTTTAAGTGTATATTACTAGAAGTAAAACACTCTCACCTTAAAAATAGGTAAAAACATGCACCTAAATCATCTTTTGCCAAAAGCTTTAAATAATGTGTGCAGTATAAGTAATGGAAAAATATTCTGAAAAAGTTTTCTTCCTTTTTTATAAATAGATATATTGTCATTTTAAGAATTTTAATTCATATGTGGAGAAAATCATCTAGAAGAAAAAAACTTTTGCGAAATCCCTACTGCCCCAGTAAAAATAGTAATCACATCTATCAAGGCACAATCTCAGCCTGTAATAATTTGTCTTAGTTTAATTCCCAGCCATGATATCTGGCAGCTCTTTTTTCCCCTCTATGGAACTGTCTATCTCCAATGCTAATTAGAGCTCCTCCCATGTTGCTGTCCTTTATTAGTACTTCCACTTAGCTGTTATAGTATAATTATTCTTCCATGTAATTCCATCAAGGAGATATAAGCACTTACCGTGTTGTTGGGGTGGTAGTTGAGATGCAAACCACTGTCACATAGCGGAGAGGATGTGCCGCTGCTTTGGTCACTGGGGGCACCTAATAGAAATATGAATTCACAAAAAAATCTTCATTAATCTATGATGCTGTAATTCAAATTTGTGTATGCATGTATGCATTCTCCCCATCCCATCCTCCCCCTCTTCCCCCCCCACCAAATGACTTTTATCATATATAACATTCATTTATTTTCTCCATCAGTCAGTATCTGCCTTCCGGCTTGAGTTAAATTCCTTTGAAAGCTGAATGGAGGCACAAGAAAGCCTCCTGGTGTGCTTTGCTTAAAAGAAGTGAATAGTCTGTTTAGTAAGGAAAAAAAAAAAAGCAAAGGTTTTTGCAAATTTGACAATAAAAGGGAAGTGCATATTTTCTCTCTCTTTGCTTTTACTTGAAGAACTTGAGTAACTTTGTTACTCTCAGTGGAGTTTGCAGTTCTAAATGTTCTTGTAACAGTTCAGGAGACTGCAGGGCTACACCTCAAAAGTAACGTGATAGGATCCATGCAATTGCACATTCCTGTGCTTCACTCAGGATGCTCTATGGTACCCTTTCATACAATGGAATACATTTTTAGTTAAGAACACAGTTTTGATATGTTTCTTGTCTCACTAGAATTTAATACATAGGAAAAAGAAAAAGACAATATTTCCTTTGTATAAAATGCTATTTCATAATTTAGTTTATTTAATTTCTACTAACTTAAAATCAAAGGCTAAAAGTATTGAAATCAAAAATTTAGTGTTTTGTTGCTTAAAAATTAAGCAATTCCTTTTACCCTCTTGGGAGAAAGAAGCAGAAGGAAAGCAATGGTGACAAAAGACGCAGGTTGACATATAAATATGCTTAGTATGCTGCGACTGTATAATTATGCATCTACACTTACAATTTAATATAATTACAGGAAGACAGCTGTCTTCATATCTCTCTCATGGGGCTAGTTGACTAAAACTCGGTTGGACTTAAACAAAATACTTATCATCCCAGAGCAATTTATTCTTAGGTAGACAGACACCTCCACCAAAGCCTCTGAATTTTAAACAGCAAAGTTAAGCCCTCTAAATATACACACACATCGCATGTTCACATTTGCAAGAAAAAAGTCTTTGAAATTAAAATACTATCTGATGCTTTCTGAAAACCTGATTTTAAATACTCCGCATCAGGATGTGAGCTACTGCGAACTAAAATAACTCTACTCTTTTACCTTCAACTTTGTTGATTCACACCATGCAAATGCCTGGTTATCTGGTTTTCAATCAAAGATAGCAATTTTTTGCTTGAAGTAAGTGTTAACAAAAGCCCTAGCGATAGAAGCATCTTATATTCAGGCAGTAATGCTGATTGTAAAAGATGGTGTCAATCAGCCTCAAAGCACAATAGTTTCAGAAGCTGCAAGCGTTCACGAGCATTGAACTGAGTTCTTTTTGGCCAAGTAATAAAGGCTTACATGCACAGTCTTCATTCAGTGGCAGTTTGAGAAAGGCAGGTGCTCTTTTCAGAAAGGACACAGTTAGGGTCACTTCTTCCCCCGCATTGCGAAGGACCTGAACCTGGAAGAGAAATACAGACAGATACCTTGAAATAAATGTATGACCAAAATGCATCAGCAAATGTAAGCACTGCCACGCAGCTTTCACATACCAGAATTTAACTTCTTAGTAAAGAAAGCAAGACATAAAGCTTTCTAAATGTTTTTCTGTTGTTTTTCTAGCCACACAGGTAGTTAATAGGGCAAAAGGGGCATTGGCCTCCTATATTAGCACTTTGACCTGTGCCATTACACAGCTTGCTCTCTGGCACTGTTCAGCCGTGTACCTCCTTCTTTCAGGTCATCCAGCCTAGTATGTGTGCATTAAAAAAAGAAATATTTTCTCCCTGCAAAGTTGCCTTATAAATCCTCAACCAAAGGAACAGCAGTAGTTTCCACAGCTGTTACTGTAAGTCTTACTTACTATTATGAGTAAGTCTTTCTAACAGCCAGAGTTAAATTTAGCTGAAGAGGTCTAGCATGGATGAGACCTAATCTTCCTCAAAGACACAGAGGAAAAGTATCTATTTTAAGCCTTGAATCTCAGATAAGCACAAGTTTGGGTTTTGCCAAAGGGCAGCTTGCATGTTGGACATAGGAATGCGCAAATCACCTATCCAGCTGTGAATACTTTTAGCTTTCCTGTACTTCCCCACAGTTACCCCTTTGGCTCTTGTTCATGCCTTTAGCTTCTGTGTGGTACAGCTGATAGACACCCCAAACATACAGCAGAGCAAGGGAACTCCAGGCACATCCCCAGAGTGGCACAAAGGAGGCACAAAAGCAACTAAGCAAAATCCTGTATGTAACAGTGGAGGAGGAACATTTGAATCAGCTTATAATATGAGAGCCAAGAATCATCAAGTCGCACAGTTCTGTTTCAGAGAACAACTATATATATTTCCTGTTCTGGCTCTATAACTTCAAAACTCTTCAAGGGTTGATTTAATTTGGGCTTACAATGACAGAAGGTTGCACCATGCCTCTCTGTGCAGAGAGCTAGATCATTGCAGTCGTGTTCAGAGGGCTGCTACACAGCCAGATATTAGACAAACATTTTAAACTAGCACATATCTACTCCCTTTCTGCTGTGTAGCTGGATAATACAAAGGTAACCCTTCTGTCAAGCTGCTGCTTGTGCGAAAGCCTTGTAAATAATTTATGAAGGATTGCTATTCTTTAATTATGTCTATCAACAACCTACCCTACAGATTTAGTTACATGCATGCATATAACTATACATAGGAATGTTTTCACCTAGAATCACTGCATTATTTTGTTAACTTAAAACAATTCTTAAAAAAAAAAATGTTGATTTTGCCTTGAAATAAAATACTTCCTACTCCATGCTGGTTGCCACAGAGAAGTAACAATACAATGACAGAATATTTGATTCAGTATCTGAAATTTTAGTATCTTTATTGTTTAAAATAACACAGTGGTTGTCAAGGCACATTTTGCAGTGTAGTATGTGTTTATATGTATGTGTGCAAATAAACACACATATATCACAACAAATTTAATTCACTTATACTTCATGCCCAAAACAAAATCTGTAAAACAGAATCATAGAATCATTTAGTCTGAAACATGAGCCTCTTTGATGAGCACTTCCCAATTTTGATACATTTTATATCTTAACATTCGCAAGTAGCACTTATTTCATAGAAAGATGATTTGCAATATGAAGAACAGCAGATCAAGACTATGAAGTCCTGAATTCTGTCGGAGAAACGGTACTCCGGAAACTTAGCCTCCGCAGAACATCCTCCTCCTCTCTTATGTATCAGTCACACAGTTCAGAAAGTCAAGGTAAAAGCAGGAACTTACGGGTATTTATTGAAATGACAGATGTGGATAAACAAAGTGCAGGAAAATACAGCTACCCTCTGCCTTTTAAAAAAATATTTCCTTTTACTCAGGAACAGAGAAAAAATAAGTAGAGAACTTACAGCATTACCAACTTTAGTTTGTAAAGTCACCTTTTAAGATATCTAAGAATAAGTGGATATCATCTGTGAAAGAGGCTGAGACAGTAACTGCCCTGAATCTTTCTTCTTCCAGGAGTAAAACGAGCCAGGAGTCTACATGATTTCACTTGATTATGTATTGCTCTGTAAAGCCTGTAAGATGACATAAGTAGTTTCCTGTGACCTTTTTCTCTAACCTCTCTCTCTCAAACCTCTTTATCTCATAGGATGAACACTAAGCTGGAACACATTTCAGTTGAAATCAGCAATACTGTGAAGTGTATCTGGGAATGTATGAAGCACATAATCTAGAAAGATTTTGACATGAAGAATAAAGACTAAAGAGGGATAAAAGATTAAAAGAGAAAACTACTAGGTAATGATTACAACAAAGAGCAGATGAATTATCGATCCCATTTCACTTACTTTCTAGTCATTATCAAAGCATAAGGTTAGTTGAAGAAAATGGAAATTTTAATTACTTTACTTTCTTTTTCTAGCTTTCAGTTGAAAGCTTTATTGTTATTTTATATTCTTTGTCCCTACTTTACATAAGAAATGAACAATTGTAGAACTATTTAAAATCAAATATGCCTTACAGGATTCATTTATTTGTGTCCTCATTCATCATGTACAGCATGTCACACTGTCATTCTTCTGTGCAGAAAGAGAATCAGGTAAAATGGGAAACCTGCTCTTACAGAGGAATTTTTTTAGTGGTACAGCAGAACAGTTTATGTTCATGAGTGGAAAACTGATAAATTATGAAAAAAAAAAAAAAGGTAACCGTCCAAAGTATTGTGACTAGTTGTTATGAGAAGTTATATTTATGAAAAAAACTCACTTGAAACACAGAGAGTCAGTTTGTCTGGAAGAGACAATACAGTTAGGATTTCTAGAGCTTTATAAATATAAGTGGAATTCTACCAACAGTCAGAGACACTGGCATACTAATTATTTTTTCTCTGTTTCTCATTACCAAGCATCAGTTTAGCTCAAAAATTTACAGAGGACAATTATCAGGACAATTTTGAAAATTACAAGGAGAGTGCAAAAGGAAATGTGTTCCTTGTTTCATGTACATTCACAAGGAATGATTTTATCTGCACAGGTATATCCATGTGACCCTGAAGAACTGGCAGTATATTCCACGAACTAAGTGGTAATGAGCTTTTACCACTGAAGTCATTTCATGAACTCATTGAAGAAACCAGTTGTCAATCATGATGTAATTTTTAGATAAAGAAATGGATAGATATGTGAACAGCCATCCTGCTCTCTTACTTGGAAGAAACCTCCCTCACATTTATTTTGTATAGATTGCCAATACCTTGTCAATCAAGCACTATCATTGACAACAAAAGCGTTAGTTATTTCTGGAAGTGATAATTCTAGAAATATTTCAAGGTTACTTTCAATCATAAGAGAGATATATACTATCTAAATCCTTTATACATTCTTTCAGAGTCATAGCAGAATTTCTGATTTATAAGGAAACCTTAGAGCTAGGTTGATCAGAGGAACTAATTTCAGATTTTTTTCCCCAGCACCAACATATATTGTTAGAATGATAAAACTGACTCAAGACTAAAAAGCTAGGGACTACTTACCAGTTTCTGCAAATAATGAAGCTCTCTTAGGAATTTGCAATAATTTAGAAAACTTTCAGAATTCTTCTCATTTTGCAAGGGTACTTCCATATTTTGATACCGTTATATTAAATTCCTTAAATTACTGATACGTTAGTCCACAAATGAGAAAAAAGTTGGGGGTTGCTTTTTGTTTTTCCCCACACAGGAGTAAGGTGTATTTAAAACAGCAAAAATAGAAAACCACGTCCTGAGAGGCATCAGGCAAAGCATCGCCAGCTGGTCGAGGGAGATGATTGTCCCACTGAGCTCTGCAATGGTGCAGCCTCACATGGAATATTGTGTGCAATTTTGGGCACCACAATATAAGATATTAAGCTGTTAGAGAGTGTCCAAAAGAGGGGCCAAAAGGACAGTGAAGGGGCTTGAAGAGGAAGCCATATGAGGAGCGGCTGAGGTCACTTGGTCTGTTCAGCCTGGAGAAGATCAGAGTGAGGGGAGTCCTCATTGCAGTTTAAAACTTCCTTGTGAGGGGAAGAGGAGGGGCAGGCACTGATCTCTTCATTCTCATGGCTAGTGACAGGACTCGAGGAATGGCATGAAACTGAGCCAGGAGAGGTTTAGGTATAAGGAAAAGGTTTTCCACCCAGAGGGTGGTTGGGCACTGGAACAGGCTCCCCAGGGAAATGGTCACAGCACCAAGCCTGACAGAGTTCAAGAAGCATTTGGACAACGCTCTCAGGTACATAGTGTAATTCTTGGGGTGTCCTGCATAGGGCCAAGAGTTGGACTCGATACTTGTGGGTCCCTTCCAACTCAGTATATTCTGTGATTCTGTGATTTTCCCTAGTATATTAAAATACGTAAATGTTCTCAACTTCTAAAAAATGAAAAAGAAACATTTTTTTAAAGGAATACTAATTTTGAATAAATATAAAAACATTATTTCAAAAATAAAAAAAAATGCAGCAACTTCTGATTTTTATCATATAAGAAGAGTTTGGAGAAGGTGAGATAAACTTACAGTGATAAATCCACAGAATATTTGTAGGACTAAAATTTAACTCAGTAGTAGACCTAACATTTTCAAAGTCTAACCATATTATATATGCTCACCATAAGCCATGGAAAATCTCCTTTCAGAAGAATTCTGTATGCCTTTGCATTTGACCTGACAATTTCTAAAGCACTGCATATCCCAGATTGCAGAAAAGGCATGACCAGGCACCATTAAAAAGATTTGCTTATTCTCTTTATCACTTTTTATGATGTGTTTTATTTCCAGAGGCTATACTGACTATTCAAGATGCATGTGCTTTTTTATCCCTAAAGCCCTAGATTTTTAATATTTTTGAAATCTTCCACAAAGCTCTAGATTTCAGGCAGAGGAATTCGCATAATTTTATCAAGTTAATTTTACTAGTTAAAAATGAATAGTAGTAACACAATGTGTTGATACAGAT